GATCTTGTTGCTTGACAGCTTTCACACCAATCAGCCTTTGGTAGGAGTGTCAGTTCGTGCTTCTTTCTTTCTTCTTCAGTTGGCATCTCTGGTCTCTTTTCTCCTTTTGGTTCTCTTGTTGTGAACTCTAGTTCCAGTCCTTTGGAGATTTCAACCAACTCCTTCATCTTGTTTGCTGATATAGCTTGTTTCAACCTTTGCCATATTTGAGACTTGCTTCCAGGTCATTCCAGTAGCGACAAGAGAAGTGACAGCATATGTTGTTGAAGAAGTCTGCAGAGTGCTTATGCTGTTGAATTCTAAGGTCATTCTGAGAACTGACACAGAACCAGCAATGATTTCGCTGAGAAAGAAAGTGCAAGGAATACGAAAGATGAAGAATCTTGATACAGAGATACCAGATGAACACCAGGGATTGCAAGTTGAAAGATGGGTTCAAACAGTTCGGAACTTGTCCAAGACATTGGTGTATGGAGTTGAATCGCAAGCGAAAGTGAAGATTACTTCGGAAAGTACGCTATATCCATGGGCAGCAAGACATGCAGCATTCCTGCTGAATAGGTTTGTTGTGAAGAAAGGATCGACACCTTTTGAAGTGCTATTCGACAGAGAGTACAAAGGAACACTAGCACCATGGGGAAGCGTTGTATTGGCAAAGCCAGTACCAAAAGTCAAGGAAAAGGGAGAAGCATGGAGGAAAGGAATCTTTGTTGGAAAAGACTCGGTGAACAACCTGAATCTGATAAGCACAAGACAAGGAATCATCAAGAGCAGAACGATAAGACAGTGTACGCCACTGTATGATGTTGAAGTGCTAGCAGAAGCAACAGGAACACCATGGAACTACACACAAGACACACTTGTAGGAAGAAAAGCAACGAAGAGATTGCCACCGCACAGTGGAATCGAGATGGCAATTGGTGACAAGCCGGAGATTGTTCCCAGAAGAGAAAGAAGCCAGGAACAAGAAGATGAATTGAAGGACTACAGCCCAAGCCAAGAAGCGGCATCAGATCCGCCAAGCGAGACTGAACAAGACATGGACGAAGATCCAGGTGAAGGACATGTTGGATCAACAAGCAGTAGCTCAAGCAGTCGTGGAAAAGGAGTCACAAGAAGAAGAAGTGAAAGAAGTGATGAATCTGATGAGCTGATTACAGGAGAAAATCCACCGCCAGCATCGCCAAAGAGGAACCTTGAAAAAGGCGAGCCTGGCTCAAGGCGAGCACTGGCTCAAGCTGCTCTGGCTCAAGTGTAGTCCGTTGCCGGCGTGGCGAGGCTCTTTTAGGCCGTACCTAGGTGTGGGCTCCGAAGAGGCCTCAACCCAACCTTGTGTTTTCTCGTAGGCGGGCTGTCCCGCAAAACCAACGGGTAGCGCCATAGGCAACCAGTCGTCCGACTTGGTGACTCTTTTGCTGGTGTTACCAGCTTACTGGTTTAACCAGTAGGCTTTCTCGCCAGCGGTTGGGCACCTGGTGTTGCCAGGTTTTGGTACTGTTAGTGCCATGCCAAAGCACCACACGGAGTGTGCCCAATGTGGAGTGGGCTGGGTGTGGAAATCGGAAAAGGCCTGGTACCCATGCTGTTGGCACTGTGGTGCGGCCTGGCCAGGGCCCTACACACCACCGCGCCAGCCACAGAACTCCCAGAGCCCCGCGCAACAGATAGGACGACTGGAACAAGTGGCAGGCCTGGGCTCGCCAGGAAGTGCAGAACGAGCAAGACTGGTGGGAACCAGCATGGCAACAGCCGCGCAGGCCAAAGAAGCAGGTGGACTACCCGCCAGGACTGGGATGGACCGGTGCTCAGATGACTCCCCAGGAGTACGAAGATGCCGTTGCCAGTCTTTGGCAGGATGCCGACCCGCAAGCCCAGAAGGTTCTTCGTGCGTGTGGAATCGAACCGCCGGAACAAGACAAGAACGATGACCCCAGGGTCACCTTGCAGAAGTACCTCTCGGCGTACAAGTCGATCACCCAGGCACACAGAAACCTGGTGGAGCGAAAAGTGCGGCTGCAGGCGCGAGCTGACAAGATCAAAGCTCAGTTTGAGAAGGCCCTCAAAGAACTGGCGGATGTATCTAAGGCCATTGGCCTTTGAGAAGGCGGAGGACAACCTTGGGAAGGTGCAAAACCAGGTGCAGGAGCAACTCAAGAATGCTGAGCCGCCGGAAGCCAAGGAAGTTCATGATCTCCAGGGCCTCCTGAAGGTTGCGGGGGTTGAGCTGTCTGCTACGCAGGAAGGGGCCCTGTCAGCCTACCTGCAAACGAGGAGGGAGGAAAGGGAGCTTGAAATGGATGATGATGGCAATGAGGATCCTTTTGGAAATCTTGGCTCGTTTGTTCCTTTAACCTCGAATGCGTTCAAAGCTGACCTGGGGTCTCCAGGAGTGACACAGACGTTTGGACCCATGAAGCCCAGAAGGGTCCGCAGCAACCCGCTCTCCCGCAATGATGGGGAGAAAGAGGAGGATTGAGGAACGGGGCAGGGAACCTTAGTAGGTTGGTGGACGCCGTGGTGCCTTCCTGGTTGGGTTCTCCAACAAAGCCCTTACCAACTACCATGGCGATTTTTGAGTCACAAGAGCCAGAGCCCCACGACCATTTTGGTTGAGGTGGGTGCCTTTTTAAAACAGCAACAAAGGCCGCGGCTCAGGGATGAGACGCCTCGGCCTCAGCAGTTTTGTGAGTTGTGCAGTCAGCCTACTGACCGGCTGACGCAAACCAGCGAAGACTGGTGTACTGCACTATGGGTGGCAGAGAAACATGTTATCCAGAATGTGCAGCCCTTGGTCTGTTCGCCAATTTTGGAAGCTTATGCAAAAAGGGCGTACCACCTGAGGCAGAAACCGTTTGGGTGGTGCTGCGAATCATGCTCAACATGGGTGTGGCAACAGGCGGAAGAAATGTGGAATGCAGGGAGAGTCAGTTGCGAACCCATTCCTCACTGGGGCCCGCTACTTCCCTGTAGATTTTGAAGGGTCTGGAGAGGATGATGGGCTGACAGTGCAGAAGCAACCGGAATCCTCCACACCTGGTGCAAACCAGGATGGTCCAACAGCTGAACCCGTGCCTCAGCAATGTCCTCCCTCAGAGGGAGCCCTAAACTCTAAACACTCAAACCAACAACGGCCCCCCTGGTGCGCCAACCAGGAAAGACTGGTGCCAACTGTCTGATCTCCTTGTAGCGGAGCCTCAATTTTGCATGCAGGCAAAAGAGGCGGCAATCTTGGAGTGGATTGAGAAATTTGAGCACAGTCTAACCTGGGCTCTCCAGGCAGCGCCAACGGACGCTGCTACCAGCGGTGGCCTTGTCACGGTGGCCCCCAGCCGGTACCAAACTCGGCACCTACACCTGCACGAGCAAGAAGGCAAAGGCTTCGCCTTTATCGGCATCCGGTTTCGGGGATGGGAGTTGGCAGTCGGGAATGTCTACCTTGAGTCTGGAAAAGGACCGTCTGGTGGACTAAATCCTGGATTACTTGCGGCGCTTATTGATTTCCTAGGTGACCTGAGATTGCCGTGGTGTGTGGTTGGTGACTGGAACTGCACACCAGAGGAACTGGCCTCATCAGGCTTTGTAGCGGCGGCCCGTGGCAAGGTTGTTGGCCCGCTTGAAGCAACCACGACCCAAGGGTCGTCCATCGACTATGGAGTGGTGAGTAAAGAGCTGGTGGCCAACGTCCAAGTAGAAACAGATTGGGATGTGCCTTTCAGGCCGCACTGTGCGGTGTGGTATCACTTTCAATTGGAAGGTCTGAGCCTACCGTACCGCAACCGGTGACGTGGGGTGGAGTACCTGGTGAAAACCAGGAATCTCTTTCCCCGAAAGTTCCGGTCCAGCAAGTCCAAGCCCTTTTTGAGCCACCTAGTGAAGACCAGGTGAGCATCCATTGGGGCCAGGTGCTCCAAAAGTTGGAGTTGCAACTGGGTATGGAACAAAAAGGCCGAGGCTGGCACTTCCCTGTTCAGCGCAAACCGCTGGTGGCACCCAGCTCACCCTTTAAGCCTTGGCAAGGTGGAAGCGTGGCCTACTGGGCAAGATTGCAACTTTGGGTACAGCAAAAAAGGCTTGACAGACCCCTCAAGCCAGCCCAAATGAAGCTTTTTGGTTACCAGGTTAGGCATATGCACCAGCATGTTGGTGTAAATAACCAACTAGATGTTGCAAAGTTGCAGCACCAGCTGGAATCCTTCATGATAGGCCACAAGGTTGATCTGGAGGTGGTGCAAACCACGCTGCAACAGGCGGCGCAGGCAGGAGCAGTACCAGACATGGCTCCAAGGTGCATGTGAAGGCGGCATGCGTGGCCTATTCCGAGCACTCAAGTCGCCGGACAACAATAATGCCAGGCCATACAGAGAAGTCAGCGGTGAGCTCAGGCCACATGTTCGTAGGGAGCATTGGAAGCAGGTCTGGCAAGCCCTGCCTGGCAACAGGCAGGAAAAGGATGAAGTCTATGACCAGCTTTGGACGTTGGCAAAGGACCTTCATAGGTTGGGGCCGCTCACTGAGCAACAGGTGGCCAAGGCCATAAAAAAGATGGCTAATAAAGCCAACGGCCCTGACGGTGTCACAGCACCCATGCTCAAGGCCCTCTCTGAAAACCAGATTCGTCTGGTGACCACAGCCCTTCAGGAGTGGGAAGAAACGGGGATGATGCCAGAAACGGTAGTGATGTCACTGGTGGCTCTCTTACCTAAGAAAGAAGATTTTGGTCCCGTAGGGAACCGGAGGGATGAAATCTTTATTTATCCTCCCAACTTGTCGACGGTTTTATATTCTTTATAAAACCGAGTGCGCGTTCATTTCTTTGGAACATGTCAGAGCTGTCTTGCAGTCACTGACTTGGATCATCTCCGTTGCCCTTGCTCTCAAGGGACGGGGGGGTGGGAAACCTACTTTCCTCGGCATAAGCGAAACTGCTTGTGCTGGGGGGGTGGGTGCCGTAGTTGTTAGCCGTCGGGCGGGCGGGTTAGATCCACCCTCTGGTGGATGCCATGGAAATGTCCGAGCCCCGCTTGCCTGCGGCTAGTGCTACCGTAGATGACGAGTCCGGTGACATGTCTAATCCTTTCAGTCTGCTTGACGACCATGCCGAGGGTCGTGCATTGTCCGAGGGATCACCTGACGTGTCCGATTGGGATTCGTGGCTTCTTGAGCAATACAGTAAAGATCATGTGTCGAGCGACCACACACACGAGCCTAGCGAGGCATGTGCTGAACCTGAGACTCAGAGCAACCCAGACAGGGAGCCAGCTGCCGGTGACCGGGTCGTCCAGGTTCCTAGTCTTTCGTCACAGGCTGCGCCGTCAGGTGAGCCGTACAATCGTGCAGGGTATGAGTGCATTTTGCAATCCTCATTCCAGTCCCTAGAACAACAGGTGCCGAAATTCTTTTGGCAGGAAGGTTTCTGGGCAGATGTCTTCGGCCCTAAAGCTCCGCTTGTGAAAGTGCCTTCTTTTCATCGCTTCGAACAGCCAGCAGGAACGATTGCTCCGCAGGACTCAGTGCCGGGGTCAAGTGGATCCAAGAGAGCCCGTAGGCTTGCACCTTGCATCTTCGAAAAGGTAGTTGTCAACATGCGTGTAATCTCTTGGAGGGACCAGCGCGAAGCAGACCTCATTCGTGCGTTGTCAAAGTGGTGCCTGGTGTTTGAAGCCTGGGACGTATCACGAACCAATGTTGCAGATCAACTCTTGAAGTGCGAATCAACAGATGCCTGTCATGAGCTTTTGTCGGATTACTTGGCAAAGAAGGCCCCGAGCACCTGCTTAAAGAGGGCGAACAGCATGCTACGCCTTAACAAGTACGTTGCCAGCGAAGGGTTCCAGATGCCCACTTCAGAGCCAGACCTTTACCAGCTGCTGCGGAGAGGCAAGTCGGGTGGCGCATCGCTCTCGGAACTTCAAAGCATAATGGAAGCTGTTACCTTCGTACGGTTTGTGTTTGACGTAGAATGTCTTCAGAGCTGTGCACGCAGCAAGCGTTGTTGGGGCCTCTCAACTGCAAAGAAAGCATCTCTTGTGTCTAGGGCCGACCCGATGAGAGTAGCAGACCTTGTCGAATTACATCGTGTCTTGTCGGACGAGGAAGGTTCGCTTTGGGACCGACTGATGGCCGGCTCAGCACTTTATTGCGTCTACGCGAGATGCAGATGGTCCGACGCGCAGCACATTGACATGTTGGTGTTAGAAGCGGGTGAGACACTGTTCACTGAATTCGGCTCCGCTGTAATTGACATACATAAAACGATGCACTTTGCCTCGAGAGCCCCTCGGTCGATGGAGCTCGTCGCAGTTGGGAGAGGGCTCGACGGGTCCGATTGGCTAGCAACATTCGTATCTGTCAGGAAGCTCCTCGGGTGCTCGTACGAGGACGGCTTCCCGACTATGCCGGCTCCGAACAAGCAGGGACTCCCTACCGTTCGAGCCCTTAGTTCTTCGGAGGCGGGAGCATGGTTGCGCGAGCTTCTTCCTTCTCGTGAAGGAATGAGAACAACATCACACAGCTTGAAATCTTCGTTGCTGTCATTCGCTGCAAAGCGCGGCATACCTCACCTAGATCGGCTTGCACTAGGAGGTCACAGTCATAGTGCTCGGATGTCGGATGTCTACGCCAGGGATGCACTGGCTAGGCCTTTGAGGCTTCTGGCAGGGATGATTTCCGAGATACGGGGCGGATCGTTCGTCCCCGATGCTGGTCGTGCCGCTCGCTTCCCAGGACGGACCAACGAGGCAGACCTGTGTGCTGAGGTTCCCGAGGAGTCTCAGGTGCCCCCTTTTGGGGCGGTGCAAGGTCAGCGATCCGAGTGCTCACCCTCGGTTACAAGCGGTGGACATTCGCCCCTCCTTAGTGTGCAAAGCAAGTTCTTGACCTCCCCAACAGCGGGTGAGGGCCTGCCGGAGTCGCCGTACATGTTTGAGGGTGCCGTTGAAACCGAGCCACAGTTCTCAGTCGGAGAGCCTGCGACTCCAGTGAAATCTGAAGGTGTAGGCGAGGCGTTCGTAACTGACAGTCCAATCAGCGTTCAGTCCAGTTTGCCACCATCGGAGGAGAGTGCTGGGCATTCAGCTTGCGCTAGCATTGATGAGGTCGACCCCGATGATGGCACATCCGCAGCTGGTGACACTTCGTCAGAAGAATCTTCCGAAGAGTCGTCTGATGATTCCAGCTCGGTGGCGAGGCCGGTTCCTCGCCTTCTGCATCCTCCTGCACCACCTGCGGGGACATACTTTGTGCAACACTCGAAGCTTAAGACCCTGCACTTGCTGTTAGATGGACACAGGGCTTTCACGTTGTGCGGAAGGTCCCTCCAACAGGAGCAGAATCCGTTTGGGCCACCTGGCTCCCTTCGTTATGACACACCAGTTTGCAAACAATGCCGACGTGCCACTGCAAACCTGCTAGATTAGAGTGACGTTGGCAGCCTCGAGGAAACAAGTGAGCCGCTTTGTTCATGCTGATTTGAAGTCTTTGAGAGCGTATGGTGTGCGCATACGAGTTAGCATACACCTTGGCGTGCTCCGCGTTTTGAGGTGCTGTTCGCAGGATCAGGTAGGACACTCATGTTTCATGAGGGCTTGCGAGGTCCAAAGGGCCTATCTGAAGATTTCCCACATGTCACATGTCCATGTTCATGAGTGTGCTCCATGCCCTCGTTGCAGCGGTCTTTGTAGGTCTGAACCTTGTAGGTCCAAGCTTCCTGAGTGCCATGTCCTTAGTTGATAGCGAGGCCTCATTCAAGGCGCGTTGCCTTGAGGTCTGCGGAAGCTCAGAACTTTACGATCTGCTGGTCGATGCAGGGGTCAAGACACATTCGATCCTCGCTTTCAGCTGCGGAACTCCGAGGGCCCAGCCGACAGACGTAGAGTTCGCCTCCTTCGCAAACACTGTCGTGAAGGGGCATGCAAGCATCGGCCAAGTCAGCGCCCTTAAGAGGCTTCATTTCGAATCCTCAACGCTAGTGGTTGCTGCACTTCGAACCATGGTTGAAGGTGATGCTGGTGACGCTTCCAAACGTTTACCAGTGGCAGAGAAAGCGGCTCGACTTGCAGAGGCGAAGCGGCGCCTTCCAGGACTTGTAATAGAGGACGAACTCGAGCCCAGTCATGCCCTCTTGGATGTGATCGCACACATGGGTGAAGCAAACTCAGTCGTCTGGGTTCCGCCGTCGAAGTGTACCAAGAGGGATGCCGAGCTGAAACTGGGGTTGAGGGATAACCAAAAATTCCTCACAGTCCAGGAACACGGTGTGACACTTGCTCCTGCCCCAGACAAGCTTGTCGCTGATCATGCAACCCCTCTAGAAGTACAATGGTGCCTTCAACGCAGAGGGATTGCATTCTTCATGTGCGGTTTCATGAGCTATGAAACTCATGATCGGTGGGTTTCGACTCTCCTGCGAGCACTGTCATCGGATGTCCCACCAGGGTACGCTCCTATCTCGATCCAGCAGATGTTGCGTGCTGACTCTGAGATGTTTCTGTTGCTCGCAAAAGAAGTGAACCGAGTGAAGCCTACTAGCACTGGAGTCATGGAGATGGATGAAAAGATGAAGCTGTTCAGGCACGATCCCAGGATCACATCGTATCTGCAACCGTTGCAGAAAGCAACCGCCAGTGTCGCACCGCCTCCTCAGCCGCCCCTTGAATCAGCTGCAGGTGCATCGGCAGGCGCTTCAAAGCGGCAGAAGAGGCGTGACGAGAGGCTGAAAGCCCCTGTAAGGGTTGACAACCTCCCTGAGGAGTTGAAGTCGTGTCCCCACCATACGGATGCAGCCGGCCGTCGTTATTGCTGGTCTTTCAACTTGGCCAAGGGCTGTAATGCAGAGTGCAAAGGGAACCCTCCGACCTGTAATCGAGGGGTTCATGGTTGCATGACCTGCAGGCGCCTGGGTCACGGTACTTCCAGTTGCTGGTTCGCACAGGGGGGCACAAAAGGCAAAGGCCGTGGGAAGAAGGGGAAGGCGAAGTCTGATGCCCCCCCGAAAGAGTGACTAGGACACTCATCCTCGCGCAGCTTCCTTGATGGGAATCGTGAACGTTCGCGAGGTCGAGAAAATGCAAGTGCCGAATTCGAAGCTGATTTCCGAAATCGTCAGTCCTGCCCTCCTGGCGGACCCAGTATCACCGATTCTCTCCTTTCCAAATCCGATGCCAGTCACGACGTGAATACTCCTTCTCGTGGCACAGTTGATTCAAAGATGAACTTTACATTCTTGCATAATGTCTTGAACGAGGCTTGTGCCTGCGGCGATTCCGCAGGAGAACAGCTCGCTTACGAATGCTTGACAAAGGGTTCCTGTAACGAAGACCATCTGCTGAAGCTATCCCGCCTACTTCCAACTGAAGTGCAGGCGCGGTCCGACCATAGCACCGTGGAGGAACGATCCTTCACAACTGGGGCATATTGCTATGGGCCCATGTCTGGCCTGCGGACCACTGTCAGGTCTTTTCCAGCGGCCTCTTGCCTGCTGGCAAACTTGGCACAGTGTCTGTTTCCGCAGCACACTTTCAGCTCCGTGGGACTGTTTCTCAATGTCAAAACCCGCCGTCATAAAGACTCCAGAAACATGCCAGGATCTTTGAACGGCGTTGCCCCCCTTTGCATGTTCAAAGGAGGTGGCATCAGGGTACACTCGAACGGCAAGTCCTCTGACCTGCCAGTGTCGGATGGGCCAGTTCTCTTCGATGCCTTCGAAGAGCATGAAACCCTTGACTGGATGGACGGTCCTAGACTTGTGCTGGTTGCTTTCACGGTGTCTCGCTTGCCCAACTTGAGTGAGCCCGATATCGAACTTTTGAGACAGTTAGGTTTCAAGTTGCCCAAGCTTCAGCCCGCTAACTATGCCAAAGCTCTGCCTCACATGTCCCACACTACATCGGCCGACCACGCTACACCATCCGGCATTGTGCTTGATGTGTTCGCGGGCGATGCAGGCTTCAGCAAAGCTGCTCAGAAAGCGGGCTATCAAGCCTTGGCATTTGACATAAACCCTAAACGTGCTCAGTACCCGATTCAACCCTTGAACCCAACCAAGGACGACGAACGACAGATTCTGCTGGACTTGATCTCCGAGCATGCAAGCAGCTTGATCGTAGTCCAGTTCACGATACCTCTGCTGGGAGCCTTCTTTTCTGCCGAACGCGGTTCTCCCGAGTTCGCCGACTTGTTGCTTCGCAGCGTTCTCGTCGTTCTACATCATTGCATTTCTCTTCAGGTGCCGGTCGCAGTGCTACACCCCGCGACCTCGCAATTCTGGGATCACCCTCGCATGCTTGATTTCTGGGAGTCTGCTCAAGGCCATTGGACTACGTTCGACCAATGCATGCATGGTGGTCCGCAGGACCGACGAGCGCACTGGTGGGCAACCACCCCGCTTTTTGTGGCTCTTTCGGCATTGTGCTCTAAGGACCATCGTCATTTCTCACAACCGCCCACAGCTTCGACGTGGCCCTCGCTGCTGTGGCTTCGAGCTGTTGAGCTCTTTAGTAATGACTCTAGTAAGCCCTCGCGTAATCCTTCGCTTTTTGGGCCTCCTGGTATAGCCCTTAGACCTGCACTTGGCAAGCAGTCGAGAAAGGCCCGACCTCTAGTGAGCGAGTTTCGCTCATATGATGCGTGGGCGGTGCCTTTGCATGCCGAAGTCGGCAATCTCCTCAGCTGCTACCCCAAAGGTGCACGCATCGTTAGGCGCAAACTTTCCGTTTGGGGTTGCATTAGGGTTTGCGCGATCCCGTCAACCGACCAATGCAAACTCGCCTCAGGATTGCACTGCTCCTGGACGTGGGCCACGAATCATGTTCCTACCACGTCGCAGTCAGGGAATGAGATCATGATGGACGTGTGCGGTACTTGCGTGCCTTACAACTTGAGAAGGGATGACTGCATCGAGGTCATTTGGCTAGGGATACCTCGCGAGCCTGACGACTTCCTGGCCAAGGCCGTTCTAGCAGGCCACCCTAAAGCTTTGCTGGACTCCGAGCCTGATCCGCACATGCTTTTGATCATCGATAACCTTCTGGATGGGCAAGTTGCGAATCCACTCAAAGGCAAAGGCGAACTTCGTCGGTGGTCCGACCTCAAAAGTCAACTTCATCAGCAGCAGGAGACAGAGAGAGAGAAATGGGACCCTCACGTCAGGGAAGTCCTGGGAGATAAGGCGACCGTTCTTCTTGACACACTGCTGCAGGAGTTGGATTTCCCAGACCGCCGTCTGGTCAAGCACATGACCCAGGGTTTTAGATTGTCGGGTTGGGTTTGTAGGACCGGGCTTTTCCCCCTCGACCCTAAGCCTCCATCCTCGACCATCGCCGCACAGCTGAAGACTGCAAAGGGCCGCAATGAAGCCACCATTGCGAAGCTTGACAAACAGCCTAGCGACGAGGTCTCCGAGAAGGCTTGGTTGGAAACGCTGGAAGAAGCTCAGAAAGGTTGGATTTTCGAAGATACCGATCCGCAGCTTGACAAAGTTCTTGTAGCGCATCGCTTCGGCCTAAAGCAGGGTCCGAAGACCAGAGTCATCGACAACTGCAAGTCCTGCTCTTTCAATCTTACCACTGGTGTCCCGGAGAAATACCGGCTGCACGGGGTCGAGTTCATAGCTGCTTTCCTGCTGCTTGCAATGCGTGATCCAAGATCGCACGGGTGCAAGATCCGTGGACGCACGCTCGACTTGACGGCAGCCTACAAGCAATACGCTGTCCATCGATCCGACCGCGACGTCCTCAGGATAGGAGTGAAGGACCTGCAGCAGAACCGCACTAGATTTTACGGAGTCAACGCTCTTCCATTTGGAGCCACTGGGTCAGTACCTTCCTTCCTTCGATGCGCCGCAGCCTTTTGGCTGCTCGGTGCCAAGGGGTTAGGTTTAGCCTGGACTAATTATTTCGATGATTACCCGATGTTTGCGAAGGACGACTGTGCTGAATCGGCAGACGAAGTTGCTGCCGATTTCTTCGATCTCATGTCTGTCCTGTACGCCCGCGAAGGAAAGAAAGCTACTGCTTTCACCGAAATCTTTAAGGCTCTCGGACTCTTGTTCGATCTCAGCCGGTTCGGCGAGGGGGAGGTCACTATCGGCCACACTCCTGAACGACGTGAGGAGTTGAAGGCCACGATAGAAGCCATCCTAGCCGCCGACTGCCTTTCGCATAGCGAGGCCGAAAGTCTGAGAGGCAGATTGCATTGGTTCACATCCTTTTTGTTTGGGCGCCGCTCGTCTCAGGCCCTTAACGTGGTTTCCGATTGGGTGAATCGAGGAGCCACTCACGGCAGACTCTCTGACGACATGAAGGAAGCGCTCACTTACTTGAAAGATGTGGCCCTTACAGCCCCGCCTTTAAAGATTTCTCGTAGTCTCCACAAGACGTTTTACATTTTCACTGACGGCAGCCTTGAGAACCACACCGCT